AATCACAATGAGGTACCTCTTCATGTATACTTTTGTGTTATTTAGTCACTAAGTCATATCTGACTCTTGTGACCCCATGGACTGTAGCCCACCAGGCTCTTCTGTCCATGGGATTTTCCAGGCAAGAATACTGGAGTGGGTTCCATTTCATTCTCGAGGGAACTTTCCGACCCAGCGATCAAACTCGCATCTCCTGCATTGGCAGGCAGATTGTTTACAACTGAACCACTTCATCTGCCAGGCTCCTCTGTCCATGGGATTCTCCAGGCAAGAATACTGGAGAGGGTTGGCATGCCCTCCTCCAGGGGATCTTCCTGACGCAGAAATTGAACCCTTGTCTCCCCCATTAGCAGGTGGCTTTTTTAGAACTAGTGCCACCTGGGAAGCCCACTCATATATACTAAGATGTCTAAAATAAAAAAGACAGAAAACAGGAGTTGGCAAGGATGTAGAGAACTGGAACCTCATATCCTATACTGTTGGTGAGAATTTAAGATGGGGCAGTCACTTTGACAAATAGTCTGGCAGTTCCTCAAATGATTAAACATAGTGTTAACAAATAACCTCGAAATTCTACTTAGGTATATGCCCAAGAGAAATAAAACATAAGTCCAAACAAAAACTTATACACAGTGTGCGTGGCAGCATTATTGACAATAGCCAAAAGATAGAAACACCCAAATGTCTATCAGCTGATAAATGGATTAAAACTGTAGTATGTTCACACAGTGGATCATTTCTCAGATATATATCTTCATAAAAAGGAATCAAGTTCTGATTCCGACTATGAAGTGGATGAATTTTGAAAATACTACACTACGTGAAAGAAGCCTGTCACAAAACCCATGTATTATCTGGTTCCATTTATGTGTAATGTTCCGAACAGGCACGTTATGAGGTAGAAAATAGATCATTGGTTTTCTAGGACCGGAGTGCTAGTGGATAAGGTTTGTGTGGTGATGGTTCAAGGGTACAGTATTTCTTCTGGGAGTGAGAAAATGTTCTAAAATGGATTCTGGTAACAGTTGTACAACTTTGTGAATACAAGTTTTTAATGTTGAATTATACACTTTAAATGGGTGAATTGAATGGTTATATCTCAATAAAGCTGTTGCTGAAAAAAAAAAAAGAGAGAGCAGAGAATGATTAGAGTCCTTGGGAAGATGATGGTTTAGGATGGCTGTTGGGGTAAATATGGGAGGAACTGGCCAAAGATAACAGACCATTTCTGTCAAGTGCTGAGAAACTGATTAAAACTGGATTGTGAGCATATACAGAAGTATCAAGCCTCCAGAAGCAGAAATCTTCAGCTCAAAGTCTGGAGTGAACAGGCTGGAGGACTGGCACACAGGGACTGAAGGCCAGGGTGTAGACCTTGGTCACCATAGGTTCTTCCTGGGGTTCTTTGTTCTCTGACCATTCCTGCACGGTCTTCTTTCTTTCACCATCCTTCTTCCATTGTCCGCCCGTCAAATGTCTGTGTCCTCAGGTGCTCCACATGCCAGCCCTCCCCTCCTCTTGTGCTACATGCTGTCTCTTGGTGAGTGCATGACCTCTCATGTTTCAGCTGCCGTGGATGTATATTCTGCTGAAACCAAAATACATGTTCATAGCTCAGTCCTTGCCTGAGCACCAACCCATTTTTCAGTGCCCACTGGACATCTCTACATAATTGCCCCACACATGTCCCAAACTCAGCTGTCCAACATCACTCCTTCTCCATCCAGCTTATTATCCTCTACTCCCTGTCTTGGAAAATGAAAAAAAAAAAAAAAAGATCCTTTGATAGCTTAATTTTGTATACAGTAGAAGAGTGGTTTCCTAGAGCCTGATGAAATGAGAAGATTTATAAATGCAAAAAGAACTGGGAAGTGGAAGAGACTCTTAAAAATTACCCTCCTGGCCAAGTCACTCCTTTGGTTGACAACTTTCAGTTATCTTTAGAGTGCAAAGATGAAAACACAGATTCTGCATGCCATTACTCATAATTCAGCTTCCTCTGTAAATTTAATTAAAAAGAGTATACTGAGAAATTGTGATATAAACATAGACCTTGACCCCAAGTGATTATGATCTAGCAAAGGGGGCTCATGAGTGAACAAGAAACTTCCAAATAATGTAAATGTAAATGTAAATGAAGATGAAGCACAAGATTCTCTGCTGGTACCTAGGGCAACTTATTCAGTAATTTAGGGATAGGAGGTGGGAATGTGTTAGAAATGGCTTTCCTGAGGCCAGAACAGTTTCTGGAACAAATAGGATGAGTAGAAGTGTAGTGGAGAAAAGAGTATCCCAGGTATGAGTTTGGCCTACCTGTGCCTCTGTGAGGTTGGCCACAGAGAGATAAGGATTGGAAAGGGAATCTGGTGAATGCAGAAAGAGATTTGAGTAAGGTGGAGCCACATTAAATGATGGGTGAAGAAGTGGACACGAAAAGAGATAGAACACTTTCCCCATAAACTTGGCTGTTAAGAGGGAGAGAAAGATAAGGCAAGATGCTGAAAGGGGGTGTATACTGGGGTAAGTGTATAGGGTTGTTACATGTGTGTGTTTCCAAAATAAGAGAGATGTGAGCAAATTTAAACAGTGAAGGGAAGAAGCCAGAGCCAGGATTGGTTGGAAAGATAAGCTATGGAATTAGATGTCTAATGTGGGAAAGACTGAGAAGGTGAACAAGGTGAAGGTTTTAGCCTTATTCTGTGGGATTAGAAGGAAGAAGCAAAGATGGGTGTGAAGGAGAGGTTGGCAGGAATTTCATGGGTTTCATTTTCAAAGTCAATGACAGGGCAAATAGGAGGATAGATGGTTTGCAGAGTATAAACAATGTTAGAAATAGCCATAATGACTGTAGAAGGACTGAACAGCACACAGACTGGTATTTTCCATGAATTTGAGACCAGCTCAACTAGGTATAAATAACAAAATTGTAAAGATAGGAAACTGAGATTTGAGCATAGAATGTGCTATTTTGTGATTTCAGAAGCAAATCAAGCCCAGGTGATGATAAGATTGAGACCTAGCCATGGGACTAAGTTACTAATTAGGGAAATGAAGTTATTTTTACCTTTGAATCAAGGGAGTCAGTGAGCTGAGAAGCCAGTGAGTGAATGGAGCATCCACGTGTGCACTGAATTCCCCTAGTTGATGGCAAGTCTTATGGAGAAGACCATTCAGAAGAATGGAAGATTGCCCTGGAACCTATCTCCCTGATTCTGTTGTCTATTCTTCACATAACTGCTGGGTTAATTTTTTTTTCATGTATTTCTTATTTTTGTTATTCTGTTCAAAACCCTCCCATGTCTTCCCACCTCCCTCTGATTAATTCCAGTATTTATACCTTGGTCTTCACTACCTGGCCTGCCTGCCTTTCCTCTTTGAGTCCCTCTCTTACCACTGAACTATTCGTTCCCAGCCACACCAGCTTCTTGACTGTCCCCAGCATGACCTAACTTGTCCCTACCTCTGGGCCTTTGCGTTTGCCATTTGCTATGCCGGGAAAGCTCTTCCCCCAGCGGCCTCCTTCATCTTCTTTCAATCTCTGCTTAACTTTCCTCCTCTTCCTCTGTGCCTTTTCCTGTAGGCAGTCCCTGTTCTCCACCTCAGCTTCATTTCTTAAATGTCATTCATCACCATCTACCTATACACAGGTTTACTTTTTTTCCCCTGAGAAATCCCCTCCCAAGAACAGAAGCTACCTGAAGGTAGAATTTTTGGCCATAGCTCACTGCTATATTCTATAGGAGGCATAGGTTAAAAAAAAAAAGTTTTGGTTTTTTGTTTTTGCATGAATTCAGTAGCAATAGCATAGCAGTGGGTTTTGAGAAAGACCTTGACCGTAACCATGTGGAGTTTATGAGCAACTGCAGGGAAAGGGAGAGAGAGGGAAGAGTGTGCACATGTTGAGTTGTTGGCAGGCAATATCATTCCAGTGGGCACTCAGAGGTATTGCTGGAACACTAGGCATAGGTCATTGGTAAGAAGCCCAAAACAGTATGGAGACACAAGGACAGCAAGGGTGGGTGATTGAAAGAAGTTACTTTTCAGGAAGTCTCCAAAGACCATTGTCTTTGGAGGGATGGGAGGTGTGGTAACATTTGCTGGCTTTAAAGTTTCCAAAAACTTAGAGCTGACATCCCTTGGATTGTACTTTTGGATTGATTACACTTCTGAAGGAATCCCTGTGAGAGATAATAGCTGTCATGGGTGTGCGAGGAACACAAAGCTTGCTGGAAGCAGTTGCCCATCCTGTGGGTGGATGAATGTGCCGCACACATGGATCCTTGGATACTGGTCAGTACCGCGGCACTTTACCTCCAGTTCTCCACAGCAACAGCCCTGAGGGGTGAGGGGCTGGCCCCGAAACCATGGCAGGTCCTGTCAGACTTCATGTTTACTGTCCTTGTTCCAAAGGTGCTCTTGCAGCATTTTCTTGCCTCCATACCTGTGCTCACACTGTTGCCTCTGTCTGGAATACCCTTCCCTCCCCTAGAACTCTTTCCATTTTTGGCATTCTTTAAGATCCAGCTATATCCTCCACAAGGTTTTCCTTTACAGCCCCAGCCTGGAGGGTTTTTTCCTTGCTTTGGACTCCTGTTGCAGTAATTGACTGTAGAATCCACTGCCCTGTTCAGTGACTGCTTTGCACTCTTATTTACACCTTCTGGGTGATATGTAACATGTGTGATGGTGCCTTGCTGTCTCTCTCGCTTCCCCGTAGGCTTCATGAAGGCAGGGGCAGGCTTGGTTGTCTTTGGAGCTCCCATACTACCTGACACAGACCCTTACCCAGAGAAGGTATTCGTATAAATTGATATAGTTTAATTTGTTAATCATTAATATTCTATGCCGACACCCAGATGATAGTTCTGTTTACCTTCTAATGATTATTTAATACAATGAAAGTGCTATAATGTTGTATACTTTCCCTTTTCTATTCACAGATTCTTCTAAGCACTGATACGTTGGGTTCTCTGTTGAACACTTCAATTTTACTTTTTTAGCAGAGGCCAGAGAGGTTGGTGGATGAAGGAACAGCTTCTGGAATCAGATGTCTGGGTTTGGATACAAACTCTAACACTTCCTCGAAGGGTGAGTCTGAGTAAGATCTGTAAAAATCTTCCACACTCAGTTTCGTCATCTGCAAAATGGGGATTGTAGTACCCTGCTTCTCACTGATTTGTTGTGGGGACTAAGTAAATTATACCATGTGACATTCTTAGGTCAGCTTTGGGTGTATGATGAAGCCCTCAGTGTTTGCTCCCTGCTCTTCTGAGGGAGCAGAAGTTTGGAGACTTAGAGTATGAGGTTCTCACACACTTTTCACTCTACTCCAATCACTGAGGAACAGAGAGCAAGCTGAGGCTCTGGTGCTCTGCTATCTATGTCAGGAGACCAGGCTGCAGGCTAACTCCACCACTTAGCTTATGTGTTATTTTAGGCAAGACACTCGATTCTTTGGGGTGCTGTAAAGATCAGGGAGTAAACATCTGTGAAAGTACTTTGTAAACAGCATGCTTGTTTTACCCAAAGCAAGGAACTGTGGTTGAGAACAGGAAACAAATTTATTGGCTTGGTTTTGAAAATCTTACCCTTAGAAAATTCACTTCAGGAAAAAGTAACTGTCTGGCTCGCTTTGATTGGATTATCTAGTTATCTTATGTGATCTTCTTCTTCTTTTTTTTGTTTTTAATTCCTAGTGCTGTGGAAAGTCTTCTTGAGCTCAGGATATGCTTCCTTTTCTCATTTGTAAATCTGGTTGGTCTACTAAAGAAGCAACCGCAGTCAGACATGATTTTGTGGTTTCAAGTCTGTTGCTGGGCTTTGACAAAGGAGCTCTGTAGGGAGTGGTAATGTGATTAGAAGGGTAACTGGCTGGGGGAGTGGAGACACCCAAGCCAGACACACACCCCTCCCTATAGGGTTCTTGAAGAACTGTGTCAGAGGCAGGTTAAGAGCAAGGTCTCTGGTGGGAGTGGCCTGGATACGAACCCCAGCTTTACCACTTATTTCTGGGCAGATTACTTCCCGTCTCTGAGTGCTGCTGATTCCACATCTGTAAAACAAGAATGGCTATAGTACCTACTTTGTAAGGTTACTTGGGGATTAAATGAGTTGATACATGTAAAATGCTTATGCCAAGCATTGTTGTTGTTGTCTCCCAGTCATGTCTGACTCTTCATGACCCCGTGGACGGCAGCATGCCAGACCTCTCTGTCCCTCACCATCTCCCGAAGTTTGCCCAAGTTCATGTCCATTGCATTGGTGATGCCATCCAGCCATCTCATCCTCTGACGCCCTCTTTTCCTTCTGCCCTCAGTCTTTCCCAGCATCTGGGACTTTTCCAATGAGTCACCTGTTCGCATCAAATGACCAAAATACTGGAGTTTCAGCTTCAGCATCCATCCTTCCAATGAGTATTCAGGGTTGATTTCACTTAGGATTGACTGGTTTGATCTCCTTGCTGTCCAAGGGGACTCTCAGGAGTCTTCTCCAGCACCACAGTTCGAATACATCTGTTCTTTGGTGCTCCGCCTTCTTTACAGTCCAGCTGTCACAACCATACATGACCACTGGCAAGACCATTGCCTTGACCATATGGACCTTTGTCAGCAGAGTAATGTCTGCTTTTTAACACACTGTCTAGGTTTGTCATAGCTCTCCTGCCAAGAAGCAAATGTCTTCTGATTTCATGGCTGCAGTCACCATCCACAGTGATTTTAGACCCCAAGAGGAAATCTGTCACTACTTCCACCTTTCCTGCTCCTCTATTTGCCATGAAGCAGTGGGGCCAGATGCTGTGATCTTAGTTTTTTAAATATTTAGTCTTAAGCTGGCTCTTTGACTCTCCTCCTTCACCCTCACCAAGAGGCTCTTCCGTTCCTCTTCACTTTCTGCCATTAGGGAAGTATCATTCACATATCTGAGGTCATTGGTGTTTCTCCTGCCTGTCTTGGTTCCAGCTTGTAACTCATCCTGTCTGGCATTTCTCACGATGTGCTCAGCATATAGATTACACAAACAGGGTGACAGCAGACAGCCCTGTCATACTCCTTTCTCAATCTTGAGCCAGTCAGTTGTCAGAACCATACTGGGTTCTGACTGTTGCTTCTTGACCTGCATACAGGTTTCTCAGGAGACAGGTAAGATAGTCTGGTATCCCCATCTCTTTAAGAGCTTTTCACAGTTTGTTATGATCCACACAGTCAAAGGCTTTGGTCTAGTTGATGAAACAGAGGTAGATGTCTTTCTGGAATTCCCTAGCTTTCTCTGTGATCCAGCGAATGTTGGCAATTTGATCTCTGGTTCCTCTTCCTTTTCTAAACCCAGCTTGGACATCTGGAGGTTCTTGGTTTGCATAATGAAGAAGCCTAGCATGCAAGATTTTGAGCAGGACCTTACTAGCATGGGAGATGAGAGCAACTGTCTGCTGGTCAGCACATTCTCTGGTACCACCCTTCTTGGGAATCGGGATGAGATTGACCTTTTCCAGTCCTGTGGCCACTGCTGGGTCTTCCAGATTTGCTGATACAATGAATGCAACACCTTGATGGCATCATCCTGTAGGGTTTTAAACAGTTCTACTGGAATTCCATTACATCCATGAGCTTTTTTAACAGCAGTGCTTCCTAAGGCCCACTTGACTTCACTCTCCAGAATGTCTGGCTCTGGGTGGCTGATGACACCATAGTAGCAATCCAGTTCATTTAGATCTTTTTAATACAGTTCTTCCATGTATTCTTTCCATTTCTTCTTGATCTCTTCGGTGTCCACTAGGTCTCTACCATTTATAATCTTTATTTTGCCCTTCTTTGGGCAAAGTGTTCCTTTGATATCTCCAGTTTTCCTGATGAGATCTCTAGTCTTTGAGAAGTGCTAAATAATTACTTTATATTAATATATGCATAGAGTCATTGCCAGCAAAGCCATGTCATTAGGTACAAGATAAACCTTCCCAAAAGCCAGTGCACCTCTGGGATGGATGGAGGACTCATTTTGCCTAGGCTAGAGATTTAAAAGTAATATAGAACTAATAGGTTTCTCTTCTTTACCCTTTTCTGTAAGGGCTTCCCTAGTGGTTCACATGGTAAAGAATATGCCTGCCAATGCAGAAGATGTGGGTTTGATCCCTGGGTCAGGAAGGTAGATCTCCTGGAGAAGGGAATTGCAACCTACTTTAGTAATCTTGCCTGGAGAATTCCATGGACAACAGAGGTTGGTGGGCTGCAGTCCGTGGGGTCCCAAAGAGTCGGAAAGAGTTGGACATGACTGAGCAACTAAAACTTTCATTTTTTTCAAACTTTCATTTTTCCACTTCAATAGATTTCTCCTCCTCTTTACCCTTTTCGGTAAGGCCACAGTCAAGGCTAAGAAAGGTAGATTCCAAACACACCAATCAGATAGAAAAAAAGGCAAAGAGTGAGTCCCAGTGCTGTTTCTTCCTAGTGATAGAGGAGACATTCCCGTAGAATTCGCCCCTTGGTGTATTTTGTACATCAAATAGAGAAGAGGGATGGGAAGACAAGGGCAGACAGGAGAAGGGAAGGAGAAGGGAGAGAAGTGGTTTAGAGAGAACTCAGCCTCTCTCTGGAGTGCAATACAACCCCTGGTCCCATTTTTTGTCTTCCACCTCTTCGAAAGAGATCTGGCAGTTGGAGGAAGATGGCTGGACCTTTTGCCAGGTTTAACTTGCCATCTCAAATTTGAAGTGTCCTCATGAGTTGGAGAAGGAAATGGCAACCCACTCCAGTATTCTTGCCTGGAAAATCCCATGGATGGAGAAACCTGGTAGGCTACAGTCCATGGGGTCACAAAGAGTCGGACATGACTGAGTGACTTCACTTTCACTTTCATGAGTTACATGATAGCAAAAGAAGCCAGAGAATGAAAGATCAATGAGAATTAGGTGGACTGGGCCCTCTCTCAAGGAATAGCAGACAGATCCCTCATTCTTTACCTTTCTCATAAAAGAAAATGCATCCCATGAGCCCAAAGGAAGGAACCTCAACTGCAGAGCACCATGTGGGAAAGTGAGTTACATTGTAATCTGATCAGCATTTCTCAAGCTTTGCTGTGCATCAAATGACCCAGTAATCTTGTTAAAATACAAGGGTAGGTCTGAGATTCTGCACTTCTAACAAGCTATCTGGCTATCCCATTGCTGCTGGCTAGGACCTCACTTAGAGAAGCAAGAATCTTCTAGATGATTGGTGACCAGGAGTTGTGTGATGCACAGGAATTCTGCTAAGTTGCTCCCCTCTCGACCATGTAGTCCATCTCTATACACTTAAACTGCTTCTTGGAAGTGGGGTGACAAGAAATGTCCTAGTCCTTGATTCTGACTACAAACTTTGTGTAAGTGAAATGGGGGCTAGGAGGACAAAGGTGTTTATCTTGGTTAGTTAGTTCTATGAGAGACTTTTCCTACTGTTCATAAGCAAGAATTGTTTGAAATAAACCTAATGTGAATATTGCAAACATTTCATGAACCTTGTTGCCTTATGCCTTAAATTAGGGATTGTGGAACAACGTCATTTATTATCTTCAGATAATGACAGATATTAAAATGACAGACATTTTAAAAAACCTTTTCCTTTTGATTACTCAAATTTTATTAGTCCTTCAGATTAGCTGTCATTAAGTATACCACTTCTGTATACCAGTGCTTTATATACATTTTCATTTAGATTTTCCCAAACAACATAGAGATCATCACCTCCATTTTACAGATGAAGGAATTAGGACCCAAAGAAGTTAAGTAATTTGCCCACGGTTACCCAGCTATGAAAACAGAGCCTACCTAGGAACCCAGGTGAATCTAATTTCACTTCTTTCTCTCTACTCCCTCCATGCTGTGCCATACATAACAGAATGACTATTTTTAAAATTAGAAAAATTATCCATTATTTAAAAACAAATTCAAATCTCACATTTATTTGATATCAACTGATTCCCTTGCCATGTGTTTATGACACAGCTAATGAAGCCTAAGTTTTAGAGGATTGCTTATTTATAAATGTGCCTTCCAAAGGTGCTCTGATTTTTATTCATAATTTTGTATTCTTTGTTCTTTAAAGGAGCTCCCAAATTTGAAAACTTTGGGCTTTGCAAAATCTAGATCTGCTTCTGTTGCTGTCAGGTATGCAAACCCTTTTCCCCAACATTCCCCATGAGGAGTAGTTCAACCTGTGCTTGGAAATCTCCACTTAAGGGCTCACCACCGCACAGGGCGTTTGTTTCATGTCAGACAGTTCTCATTCTTCAGAAGTTATTTTCAGACTGTGCCAAAATCATGTGCTTATTGATTATAGTTCAGCCCTCTGAAACCACATAAAGTAAACCTAATCCCTCTTCCTCTAACAGGTCTGAAAGTATTTGAAGGCTGTTACAGGACCTTTTCCCAAATCATGCTCAATGAAGCTGAAACTCCAATACTTTGGCCACCTCATGCGAAGAGTTGACTCATTGGAAAAGACCCTGATGCTGGGAGGGATTGGGGGCAGGAGGAGAAGGGGATGACAGGATGAGATGGCTGGATGGCATCACCGACTCGATGGACATGAGTTTGAGTAAACTCCGGGAGATGGTGATGGACAGGGAGGCCTGGCATGCTGCAATTCATGGGGTCGGAAAGAGTCAGACATGACTGAGCGACTGAACTGGACTGAACTGAACTGAACAGGACCTTTTCCCAAATCATCCTCAATGCTTAGGACCATTCCTCAGCTCTTCCATCCTGGATCACCTTCTCTTCTAGTTGCTGATGTCCTTCTTAAATAGTATTCTGTGTTTGACTTGACTAACAGAGAGCAAAGCAACTCACTTGCTCTATTTATTTGTTGAGGACTTTGCATTTATTTATCACTGTGGGAAATGATTGCTGCTATTATATTTAACTCACTGTTGCAGCTTGCCCAATCATGTTGTGCTCATATTTTCCCAGACTTCAGTGCCCTGAGAGATGCTCTTTACTTTTCATGTGGTGATGTCATGCACAGCAAATGATCTGTTAGGTGGTGGATTTGTCAAGACTTAGCAAGAAGGCTTCCTACACATTGCAGACAAGTGCCATAGGAAGACAGCTCATCTGCAGTTATCCTTATATACAACACACCACTGTGTCTACAACCCTTGGCAGGCATTACTCCCTCCATGATCACACTCTTAATCTACGTTTTCTCAAGACACTTACACATTTGGAAAAATATCTTCATGGGAAGAGCTCATTGAACAAGATAATTATAATGTTTTTCCTTTTTTCATTGCATTTGCTATTTATATTCTTTTCTACATGAATTTCCTCACAATCCTTTTGCTTTGTCTTTGTTTTCCCTAGTATTCCCTTTGTCCTGTCTAAAAGCTCATTGTGTTCTTCAGCAACGCAGAGATAGAGAAGCACCCCAAAGCTCATGCCTCTGCTGTGCTAAAGGAGCATATTCCCTTTGGAAAGAAGCCAGACAGTGTTTTCCCTGCAGGTTTCAGCCTTGTTACTCTCTCTGCCCCGCCTCTCCCCATACTCATCTTCCCCAGTGCCTTGCATCTACCAGAGAGACCCTCACATCTCCATTGTGTCCTTTCCTTGTGTTGGGCAGACTCCTCATTCAGTCTTGTGGGTAGTGTTGTGGGGGTGGGGGTGTTGTGCATGCATGCTCATACACTTAGTCACTTCAGTTCAGTCATGTCCAACTCTTTGTGACTCCATGGACTATAGCTCGCCAGGCTCCTCTGTTCATGGGGATGCTCCAGGCAAGAATACTGAAGTGGGTTATCATGCCCGCTCCAGGGGATCTTCCCAACCCAGGGATCTAATCCAGGTCTCCTGCATTGCATGTGGATTCTTTACCAGCCAAGCTACCAGGGATGCTATAGTTTCATACCAGAGAATGTTCTAGTTTCATTATATTACATGTAGCTGTCCATTTTTCCCAACACCACTTACTGAAGAAAATGTCTTTTCTCCATTGTATATTTTTGTCTCCATTGTTGTAGATTAATTGACCATAGCGCATGTGTTTATTTCTGGGCTCCCTATTGTGTTCCATTGACCTATGTGTCTGTTTTTGTGCCAGTTCCATAGTGTTTTGATGACGGTAAATTTGTATTATAGTATAGAATAGTCTGCCATCAGGGAATGTAATTCCTCCAGCTCTGTTCCTCTTTCTCAAGATTGTTTTGGCTATTGATGTCTTTGTTTCCATACAAATTTTAAAGTTTTTTGTTTCAGTTCTATAAAAAATGCCCTTGATATTTTGATAGGGATTACATTGAATCTGTAGATTGCCTTGGACAGTATGGCCATTTTAACAATATTTATTCTCCCAATCCAAGAACTTGGTTTATACTGTATCTTTAAACTTTGAATTCACTCTTAGATAAACTGGCCATTTGTTCCCCTGAGCCCTGTTTGGCTAATAGACTCAGGGTTTGGTGTTACCACAAAAGAGAGTAGCTTTAGCAAATAATTGCTTCAATATTAGAAAGAAGGAAACTAAAATCTAAAAACTAAAATCTTTGGCATTGACAGAAATTCTTAGATATCTGGTTTTGAGTTGATTCATTTAGTTATCTTAAGGTTATAAGCATGATTGTTTTAAATGTCCAAGGGACCCTATTGACACTTTGGAACAATGAATGTACAGATTTTTGGAATTTCAGTCAACATTCAGTTAATTAAACTCACAATTTTTTTTCTCAAGCCTTCAAATCTACTTTTCAGATCTCCATGGTCAGTTTTTAATTATCAAATTATTTGAATAAAATAAGAAAATTAATTTTACTTGATCTTTTACTAATGCTCTATTAATCTCAAAATAAACATATTAACATTTTCTAAAAATCTCATAAATTAATTTAAATTCATTAAATATTTCAAACCATATTGTTAAACATAATATAATTACTTTTCCAAACACTGAAAATGCCTAAAATGGTGAATTATAGACCTAATATGCAAGTGGCATTTACAAAATAGCTTTCAAAAAAAAAAAAAAAAACCCAGAAAAAATAGCTGTTAGTTTTTGGAGCTAGCAAGAGCTTTGCTTTCCCGGAGAAAGTGTCTTTTTTTTAACTTTGTGAAAATGAGAACTATAGAACCAATCATGTTTCTTTATTTACTCTTAGGCTCTAGGAACTTTGGAATCAAAATTAAACTTCAGATGAAACATAATCTGTTGACATTGTTGGTGGTCATATTTGTATTCACCATTTCATTTTTAAATTTAAATTTCACATTTTATTATATATGATTCAGGTCCTTGTGAAAATTGTTATGAATTAAAGCAAATAAGGAAATAGACCTGAGTATTATTATTAGCTGCCCTCAGGTTATTTGAGAGAATCTATAACAATCATTGCTTCCCTGGTGGCTCAGATGGTAAAGAATCTGCCTGCCTGCAGAATCCCATGGGCAGAGGAGCCTCGTGGGCTATTTAGCCCAAGTGGTTGCAAAGAGTTGGACAAGACTGAGCAACAAACACTTTCACTTTTCATAACCATCATTACAAATCAGTTCCTGCATGTGCTAGGGAGAGAGAATAACTGCTTATAATATATGGGGTGCCCCCTTAGGTATACATGCCTCTACCCCCACTTCTGGTGAATTGGATAGTTTGTGTTTTATTTCAAACTATTTGAAATATCTTCCAAATTTGATTAAAAAAATTATTCCAGATATTTTGCTGTGACAAGGTAATTTTATTTGTATAGATTATGTACTAAAACTTTCAATATATATTTATTGACTCAATAAATATGTATTGAATGCTTCCAATGGTCCAAGCAACCTTCCAGGCATTTAGGATTATGTGTGTAAGGGACAGGGGAGGGGCGGGTTGTGAAGGAGTAGGGGTGGGTAAGGAGACAATAATTCTGTCCTAGTCAGTTGAAGAAAACAGTTCTACCTATATAGTGCAAAAGGTACCTTATTTCTATATGTAACCATATTTTAATGAACTATGAAAAGCAGTCATTTAGGTTGATATTATCCTTGATGAAATAGAGTTCAGAGTATATTATACAGAATACATGGAAAGATATCAAAGAGAATAGGTTGAAAAAATATTTGGGCAATACAAATGACAAAGAATTAACATTATCATATACATTGAGCTCCTTCATTGAAAAGTGAAAGACAATACTATAGGAACTTAGAGGCAGGGGTAGTAGTAAGCAATTTGCTGCAGTAGAAATCACTTGCCACTAAGCAAATGCAAAGAGGCTCAAGCTAGCAGTCAGATAATACACTCCTCACCCATCAGATCTGCAATAATTTACAAGGTCAGGAACAATCACTACTGGTGAAATTATAGGGAAATGAGTACTCATACTACCAGGCAAATATGTAAAATAAAATTACTTTTTGGTATAGCAATCTTACTGTATGTATTAAAATTTTTAAATATGCACACACTTAGTGTCAGCAATCCCACTGCTGGAAATCCTTCTACTAAAATAAAAATGCTAACATAAATATATTTGCAAGTAACAGTACAAATAAGTTTATTGCAAATTATTTATGGTAGGGTAAAACAATACAAACTTGAGTGACTATAATAGGGGTAGTTTTATTGGATAAAATATATTCATACCATGGAGTAGTAAATTCTATGAAAATAATGACTTTGATTTATACTTCTTGACCTGGAGACATGGTTATTATATGTTATGGTTGAAAAAAAAGCAAGTTTGCATATATACATCTGTATGTTCGCATATGTGTGTGTCCAAGTGTGTGTAAAATTTTACCTTAACAAATTATACACACATATATAAATTTGTGTGAGTCAGATAAAAGTGAGAAAGGATTTGCCCATTGGTTATTATTAATAACTTTAATTTTTGGAATAAAGATCAGTTAAAACAGTTTTTAGTCACTTATATCTCTCTAGTTTGGCTTGTTGTAACTAGTGTATCTTAGGAATAATATTAATAATAATAATAAAAATCACAGGTTACAGATGAGAGTTTACCATATGCCGGAGACTGAGATGGTGATATTATCACCTTCGCTGTTTTATAGATGATGGAATGAGGGGATGAAGTCACTTGTAGAAGACTGCACTCTTAGTAACAGACAGTGGGTGCCTGCATGCACTCTTGGTTGCTTCAGTTGTGTCCTATTCTTTGCGACCGCATGGACTGTGGCCTGCGAGGCTCCTCTCTCTGTGGGATTCTCCAAGCAAGAAATCTGCAGTGGTTGCCATGCCCTCCTCCAGGGGATCTTCCCGACTGAAGGATCGAACCCACAGCTCTTATGTCTCCTGCATTAGCAGTAATGCCACCTGGGAAGCCCTACCTTGGTATTATCAATTTTTTAAATTAATTATGTTAGATTGTTATGCCCGATGTCTGAATCCCCGAGCGGGAAGAGAGAAGGCTTCGAAGACAATGCAACACGCAAAAAAAGGGAAGTTTATTGCTGACTCGAGTCAGGGCTCCTGCCGCAACCAACGCAGTGGTGCAGGGTCAGAGAGCCCTGAGCCCACGCTGTTATGCAAATTTATAGGGTGTGCATAAGCAGTTGGTAGCTGGCTTAAGCGGACTGGTTACACGTTTGCAAAGCAATCTTATTGGCCCAAACCTTCGCGGGCTTTTTTTCAAACTTGGGCATTCGCGGGCTTTTTCAGCTTTCCCCAGATAGGTTCCCTCTTTCTCACTAGGCGCATGTTGATTGGCTGGCTCCAGGTGGCCTGATAATCATGTTACCCCGGAAAACCAGGCCTACTCCTAATCTAGGCTGCCTGTCATGGCGTTAGCCCTGGCAGCCTTACAAGAAATAATCATGTTAGAAATTAATTATGTTAGAAATAAATTGGTTTAAAGGAAAAACATTAAGTTAATCACAATATAGATTGTGTATAGCTTAACTTAGAAAGGTCGGGTACAATGACTGTACTTTGGGAACTATGTTATCTAGCTAAACTTTCTCTTATGTAGATAAAATGATGGTGCCTGGGAAGTGATTAATGTAGGTCACCTGCCCCTGGTTTCATCAACCAGGGAAGACAGACTTTTTAAAAAATTCTGACTGGGCTGGGTCTTGGTTGTGGTGCACAGTTGCACAGTCTCTAGAGCATGAGGCCTCAGTAGTTAAGGCACGTGTGCTTAGTTTTCATATGTGAGACCTTGGTTCCCCAACAAGGAATCCAATGGGGCCCCCTGATATGGGGGTGTGGAGTCTTCACCACTGGACCACCAGGAAAATCCCCAAGACTGACTCTTAACACAGGGACTAGAACCAAACCCAGACAACTTTGTCATGACTATTTCGATATGAGCCCATTCATCTTTCCTAAAAATTACTTACTCTCCCCTAAGAGGTACATTCCCTCTTCCCTTTCCCTGCTAAGATGACATTTAAGTTTGAATTCTTAGACACTTGGAGTAAGTATTCATTTTGCTGTTGGGTATCTCACATGTGTACTTGAGGCATACACGTTAATAACATTGTTTTTCTCTTGTTAATCTTTGTTTTATTTGGGGCGGGGTTATGTCTCAGATAAACAAACAAGGGTAGGGGAAAATGATTTTTCTTCCCCTACACGATGTTTCATGAATTACCATTATTACCACTTATCTATAAGGTACAGAATATTTAGGACACTTTTTAGATCTATACTGAATGGATAAACAATTCTTTTCTTTAACTCATATTTAAAGCCAGTGACATTGCTCCTCTGAGGCAGGTTTTGCAAGGTAAGAAAAACTACAAGGAATGCCCTAATTCATAAGACTACAAAATGTCTTCCTTCATTCATCACAGTGAATTGGGGGAAAAAAAGACTGAAGGATAGACAGTGTATCTGTAAATGGGAGAAGCACTTTTGAGCTTTCTAAACTGTATAGGGTGGGGGAAAGGCAGGTGATTTAAGGATCTTAGGCTCATTTTTTAGGAAGGGGTAGACAATACTATTTAATTCTTTCCTCGAATTCTTTGTCTTGTTGCACTGCTCACTTTGTCATCAGCCAATGTTGCAATAACTTTAACAAGCAAAGGAAATGCCAGTCAAGTGAAGCACCTGGGACCTCCTCACTCTTGTGACACGTCAGGCCTCAGGCAGGAGACAAAAATGCTCTAGGCTGTGTGTGAAGCCCAGGTTAAGAGGGAGTGGGTGGTTGTGAGTCTAGGTTTCTAAGGCCAGTGTTTATATTAGCGATTCACTTCCACCTTTGGTACATTTAATCAGGCATTATTACAATGCATGGCATCATCCTGACTTCAGGACTTTGGAGGAAAGCTGGGTCAGGAGTCTATTCAAGTTAATTTTACAAGATACTTTATGCAGCCAGATACGAATTTCACTTGCCCAGAAGCTTATGCAGAACCGTGACCAGGGCTGACCCAATGAGCTGCGCTTTTCTTCCACTCGAGAATCTTTTGAGACTCACAGAGTGAGAAGTCCGACAACCACGCGGACTATTCGGCAAGACGCAACGCAACCTTAAAGGATGGGTCATTGCTCAGCTCCAGCAACCAGCCAGAGACAACAAAATGGAAGATCCTTCTCCGAGGGAAAGCAGGCCTCGGATCTGAATCGCGGGGCCTGAGTTAGGGAGGTGAGCAAAGAAAGGAAAGGCGAAGGCGCAGCTCCAAGAAGCCGGGTTCATTCAAACCCGGAGGACAGCAAACCCCGCCTCCCCACGCCGCCGCCCGCTCAATCGCCGAGCGCTCCGGGTGTGAGCTCGCCCCGCGGGGAGCGGCTTGAAGCCGAGGAGGCGGCGGCAGAGGTGGTTTGGGCAGCCCTGCGCGGCGGATAGGCCCAGGCAAACAACACCCCTTCCCCCTCCCCCTCGCTCAGTTCAACTCCCACTCGGCCCCGGCCACGCCCTGCTGCCACCGCCCCCTCGGGCAGCTTTCCGCTCCGCGGCCGGGCCTCAGTCGGGGGCGGGAAGGAAGGCGGTGTCTTGGAGAGGCCGTCGCGGCCACCGGAAACTACAAGGGCCGACAGCCTTTGCGGTAGTGCCCCGCCCCATTTCTCCCACCACTCAGCGCGCGTCACCCAGGCGCTCAACCAATGGGGACCGAGCCAGGGAAAAAGGGCGCCCGGGTCCGGATGCGCCTCAGGAAAGCCATGCTCCCTGCGCGGGGGCAGCGGGCAGTTCACCGGTTGCGCCGAGTCTTCGGTGGCTCGCGCGCCCCATTGTCCGCTCCTCCCGCTTTTCTTGAATGAGAACCCTACTTTTTTTCTTTAGTGGCAATTCTGAGGGATGCTGGAGCCGGCTTTTGAGGGGAGGGCGCCGGGAAATGAGTAGGGGGCGGGATATCCTGAGACAACAAGTTTGGCTGTATGAAAGGCCTACCGGCAGTGCGCCTGAGCTAGAACGCCGAGAGAACAAGCACCGGAGGGGCCACGCGACGAAAAGAAAAGCTGCTGAAAGAATAACCCCCAGAAAGGGGGTGGAGAGAAGGCGGCCCCAGCGCCCCGGCCCCCGGCAGGTCGGCGGCCAATCCGCTGGGGGAAGGGGTGGAGAGTCGGAGGCTCTGGCAGAGAGAGGCCGAGGGGGGTGGGGAGTAGGCCCTGCTTGCGCCGCCCTGGCCCCGCCCCCGGCCCGCACCGCCGCCCGCGCCGCGCGCCGCCGCTGTCAATCAAGGGCGAGTCAGCAGGGCTCGGGCGGAGAGAGGAGCTGCTACGCCACAGCCCAGCGGCGGCCATTCGCGGAAAAAGAGGCAGAGCCTGTGCCAGCTACAGCCTCCTCCGAGCCACCGCGGGCGGGCGGGACCGGCCTCTCCTCCCGCCTCGCCCCCACCCCCACCCACCTCTATCCCAGTGTCTCCGTCTGAGGGTTTGTCCTGTTAATGCGGGATGAGCGGTACGTATTCTCCACCCCCCTCGGTCTCCTTCACCACCTCCCTCCCTCCCTCCCTCCCCAGACCCTGCTCGGTTCTTCCCCCTCCCCCGGGGCCGCTGAGATGCTTTAAGGGGAGGAGGAGAGGGAGGGAGGGAATCAGGGGGAGGGAAGGAGGGTTGTGTTTTGTCTTAATGTCTGAGAGAGAACAACCTTCTGGGTGTTGCTCTGGAGCCGATGGGTCGGGTTTCAAACCACGTTTTGTGATATCCCCCTCCTCCCTTCCCTCCTTCTCCCCCACCCCCTGCCGGTGTGCGTGGATCGCGGGTTTATGGAGATTAATGTTCGGGGGGAGGGGGAGGAGAGGGGAAGGGGAAGACGAATAATAATAATCCTAATAACCTGTTGTCGTGTACGGGGTGGGGGGGGTTTGTTGCAGATCAGAAGAAGGAGGAGGAGGAGGAGGCGGCACAGGCAGCGGCGATGGCTACAGAAGGAGGGAAAACCTCTGAGCCAGAGAATAACAATAAAAAACCCAAAACCTCAGGCTCCCAGGTAAAGGCAAACATTTAAAAAAAAAAAGAAAAAAGGCATCACGAAACGTAAGGGGAAAGAGGGAGTTATGCCCTTTAAATGCCCAGAAGTGAAGAACAGAACAAAAATGTTTATCCACTCAAAGCATCTTTCTGAGAGTGAGGAAGTTAAATTGTAAATTCATATGGGTTTCACATGTTTGGAATATCGTGGTTAAAATTCCACCAGGAACTCAGACTACAAGAGAAAGGTGTGTGTTTTCCCAAGGGCGTTTTGAGTTTAGTAAAATAACACTTCAAGAAAGTTTGTTAGAAATTTCTTATTATTTATAGTTTATATTGTAGGACCTGCTTCCTTATTCCTGTATCTTATTGCTTTTGCTAATATTTAGGTTTTTTCCTTTTCTCGAGTAAGTTCTGAAATGTAGAGCTGTCAAAATAAATAAATAAACCCCTCCCAACTACTGGCCTTCACTAAATCCTCCCACTTTTTTTTCCCTCTCCCTTTTACTATCCGATTTTGGGTAGGACTCTCAGCCCTCTCCTCTGGCTTTACTGGCAGCTACTTGCAGCAAAATAGGGACTCCTGGTGAAAATCAAGCAACTGGACAACAACAAATAATAATAGATCCAAGCCAAGGATTGGTGCAACTTCAGAATCAACCACAACAGCTAGAACTGGTAACAACACAACTTGCTGGGAATGCTTGGCAACTTGTTGCCTCCACTCCTCCTGCTTCAAAAGAAAATAACATTTCTCAACCAGCTTCTAGTTCATCTAGTTCTTCCAGCAGTAATAATGGGAGTGCATCTCCCACAAAAACTAAATCAGGTAATT